ATCTTGCAGGTAAGGCAGAATACAAAAGGGCTAAGTTAGTATCCATTCTCCTTATGTAGATGACACATTCACCATAATAAAAAAAGACCAACCCTTGTTGCTGCCTATTTAATGATTCAAAAAGCAGTATTACTTATGTTTAAACTCTTATGCTAGAGAGATGTTAATCAGAAGCAACAGATATTTACTTTATAAAGTAATAATCACCACCCTCTATGGAACACTTCCAACTGAAATAAGTAAAAAAAGAGGCATTTTTGAGGTTGGACCTTGTAACTTCAAAAAAGCTTTGCCATTTAATTGTATACATTGGAAGATTGTTTGCAACACTTTTCTGAGCTGCATGGCGCAGTCATTGATTTTGATGATTAAATAACTGCTGCCTCACATTATGTAAACAGATTGCAATTTGTTTTTATGGGGGGAGGGATACTCCATCCCAATGAAGAGCATCTTCGTTCCAACTTGGATAATTTAAAAATGATTTTTTAAAACATATCTGTATTCTTTTTTTAATTGAAAAAGCTTTTATAGTACCGGTACTTGCCATTGCTTCGTGTTTGGAATTTTACTTTTTATACTATGTACTGCCTTGGCAATATCACTATTGAAAATTGAGTAAGTCATTTGGTAAATAACAATTACTGTAATCAATAAAAGACATCTAAGAGAACTTCTAGGCTTTTTCTGTTAGTTCTAACAGTATCAAAAGAGCTCCCTTTCTATGGAGGTGGTAGCCTTTTAATAAAAAAGAGAGCTATCATTTATTTCAGAATAAAAGAGTTGGAAGAGACCTTGGAGGTCTTCTACATGGGGCTCCCCTTGGGGAGCATCCGGAGGCTCCAGTTGATCCAGAATGCGGCTGCGCAGGGGATTTTTGGGGCTCCTAGGAGCACCCATGTGACACCTCTCCTGCGCGGGCTGCACTGGTTGCCTGTGGCCTTCCGGGTGCGCTTCAAGGTGTTGGTGACCATCTTTAGAGCGCTCCATGGCAGTGGACCAGGNCCCCCTGACCTCCGTACAATGGGGGACATACGCCTCTTCCGCCGAGCCCTAAAGACCTATCTGTTCCAAGAGGCCGGTCTGGCATAAATCTGAAATTCTAAAATTTTAAATTGGGTATAATTTTATATTATTATAGTGGGTTTTAGGACAGGACAAATAATTTAATTAGTTTTGAATATTTTTAAATATTATGGTATTGTTGTTTTATTAATGTGCCTGTTCACCGCCCTGAGTCCCGCAAGGGAGAAGGGCGGTATATAAATCAAATAAATTTGAATTTGAATTTGAATTCTAGTCCAACCCCTGCTCAGGCAGGAAACCCTATACTATTTCAGACAAATGGTTGTCCAGTCTCTTCTTAAAAACCTCCAGTGTTGGAGCACTCACAACTTCTGGAGGCAAGTTGTTCCACTGATTGTTTTATCAGCAAATTTCTCCTTCCTTTGAGGTTGGTTCTCTCCTTGATTATTTTCCATCCATTGCTTCTTGTCCTGTCTTCAGTGGCTTTGGAGAATAGATTGACCCCCTCTTCTTTGTGGCAGCCCCTTGGATATTGGAACACTGCTATCATGTCACCCTTAGTTCTTTTTTTTCATTAAACTATACATACCCAATTCCTGCAACTGTTCTTCATATGTTTTAGCCTCCAGTCCCTAATCATCTTTGTTGCTCTTCTGTGCGCTATATTTCTTTTATTCCTGTTCCTTGTCTATAATTATGATGGTGGTGGAATTTGTTTGTAGATGTTTTAGGATACACTTCTAAACATGAAGTAGAAGTATGTTACAGTGAACCCAATAGCCCTTGAAAATATATATGGCATACAGATCTGTTTGTGGGACATCCTGTGGAATAAGGCCTTGTAGCTGAAAGATATGCCCTTGTTTTTTACATTCTTGAGTCTATTCTTTTCCCTGTTTTGTAATGTCTTGCCTGATTAAAAGTTGAAGGGAATTCAAATGGTCCATACACCTTTGACTTTTATGGCTTGTTCCTAATAAAGGTATGGCTCAATTATAAATTTAAGGATAAATAATGTAGAGAAAGAAAACTACCTGCCAATTAGAAGAGACACTGTTATTAGACAGCACCGTAGTTTAATATAAGGGAGTTTCAATTTGTTTGATGTGTTCTCCTTATCAGAATTATCTCTGCTATGAAACACATTTTGGACCAAAACATATATTCAGTGGTGGGATTCAGCTGATTCGCACCATTTCGACAGAACCGGTAGCTAATTTTTTGTTGTCCAGGCCCAAAATGGACTTCCAGAAGCGGCATCCACACAGAGAACCGGTTGTTCACATATTTGAATCCCAGCACTGCATATATTATTTGTTGTTTTAAAATGTCTGGCCTCTAGACATGTTAGAAATGAAACATCTGCAAGAAAACAACCAAGCTCAGAGCGCTCCAAGGACTCTTCATTTCAATTAAGCTACAAATATTTTTGTTAATTGGTGTTTGGCTTCTGTTATTTGAAAGAAAAAAAAATTGAAATAAGGACCTAATCTTAAATGTGTTCCTAACCTGAATTGGGTTCATGTATTAATTTTCATCAAAATCCCTTTGCTGGACTATCTTGAAGGTTCTCATTACTATTAATAGCAGTGTGAGACAGAAATAACTAGATGGCAATTTTAGCCCAAAATCTGTATTGCTGCTCCCCACTTCCAAATAAAATATGCACCAAAATCGTGCTTCCTCCTATATTTTGTAATGTTTATTTTCATTTAATTGACATGCTTGATACATACTAAAGTAGAATAAATTAAAATGACTAACCAACCTTTTTTATACAAGGAACATCTAAAAATTTATGAGTTGATGTTCATGTGGATGCTTATACTCTCAAATTAATTTTATATCTGTCCCCCAAAATTTATTCTCTTCATAAATATTTACATCTCAACTGTTTAGATGTGTGGCTTTTAGATTGGTGTCATTCAGACACTCATGTGCAGCCATTGAGAATAAGCCTATCAAACAAGCTTGGATTTATTCTTGGAATAAACATGCACAGTATTGTATATTAAAGGTAAGATATCTATAAAGGTTTGAGCTCAGAATTTAGAATATTAGAATTAAAATATAAGTCTTATTGATGTCCATGGGGTGGGGTGATTTGTGCCTGCATTTGTATGTTCGTGTGTATGAATGTGTGTGTTATGTAACTTGCCCAGAATCAGATTTGAACACATTATAAAAACTTTAAAATAAACAGAAATTGCGTATGTTCATATTGAAGGATGTAGATTTCTACACAAAACATTGAAAAGTCTTCCACTTTTAAAACAGTGTAAAATAATTTGAAAAGGAAAAAGGCATTTCTGTAACTTTATTTCTTTTAATGAAAAAAGCCAAAAAAAGTTGAGAACAATGAATTATATACAGATACAATGCCTGATCTTATAGATCAGTTGTGAAGCTGATGGGTTGAGAAAGACAATTTTGTAATTAATTAGTTTACTGATTCCAGGTCAGATAAGTAAAATTGTTAGCAATGATTTGAATTCATCAAATATCATTACAAATACCCTTTCTTCTGAATATGAATTCTGATTAAATCAGTTCAATTTAGACTAGATTTAATCAGGGGTAGGATTAATCCAATTTAGGCTACATCCTGGATATTTTGCTTAAGACTAAGATTCAGCTGAATAAATGGTTAGTGAGATTTACGGGAGATAAAGCCATCAGTTTGGAAAAAAACTTGATTTAAATAAATTAAATATGATGTTTGTAAAAATTATTTGTATTCCATATAGTTAGGACTTCATCTAATATTACTTTGGTAGCATTAAGTTACAACATTCAAGAAAAATATCCGGGTGCTGTATTTACCTTGATGTAAAAATCCATATACCTGACTTGTGTTCCAGTCTTAATAGTTCTGGGAAAAAATAAATCCTCAATCATCAAAAGGTAAATTTTCTTGACTGAATCAGTGTAAAACATTTTCTTCACCATACTATGACTTCCAGAATGCTCAAATCCAACTGTGGGGAGCACATGCTCAGAAGCAAGATTTTTCATGTGTATATCTGAATATATATAAATAAGCAGTGCATGTACTGCTTTAAAAGTTTGGTCTGGCTTATAAAGATCACCTGTAAGCTTTAATAAATCCCTATATTCCCCAAATCCTGGGTTTTGTTGAGAAGAAAGATAAGACTCAGTTGCTTTCTGTCTGTTCCACTGCACCAAGAAGCTGGTCACTGATACTACCATTTTCTTGGTGACTACTATGTTGGAATAGAGACAGTGCATTGGCCCTTCCTTTCTTTAATTTGGAATTTAATTGACCCTATTACAGTACCCTTTTAAGTAATTAATGAAGGAGCGTGGTGACTCATGAGGTTAGGACATTGGGCTGATGGTCAGCAGGCTCAAAACCTGGTTGCTGCCACAGGACACTCTCCAGCTCCTGCCAACTCAGCAGTTTGAAAACGGGCAACTGCCCGTTTGGTGGGCAACTTAATGAGGAAATGAAAGGAGCCCCAAACAGGGCATCCCCCTGCAACAGTGATGTCAACATTCAATCCTTTCAATCCAGAAGTGCTTTGGTGCTTCCAACACGACAGTAGTAGTAGTGTCAAAAATAATTCTGTACTCAATCTGCTGTGCCCCAGGAAAGGAGTGAAGTTGTACATGCAACCAGCTTTTGCAGATTTCTCTGGTGATGCACAGGCCCACCAGAATTGCCAAGTTCACTTCTGCCTTTTGATCTGGCAGATCTTGTCTTTGGACTAACTTCCTGTGAGCAGAACAGGGCAACCAAAGGCAGACTCCAGTCTCATCCCATCACCCTTCTTCAGAAATATGTGTGTGTGTGTGTGTATGTGTGTGTGTGTGTGAAGTTTAGAGTTTTAAGATGTTTGATACATACATTTTATACAAAACAATATTTAAATCTATCCCTGTCTATATACAGACCGAAAGGGAAAAGAAGAAGCTTGCATCATAGAGATGAAAAACAACATACAAAACGCATGTATAGCAAATATTATAAAACATGTATTTGTAGTGCAAGTTAAAAGTACAGGGGACTCTACTTATACTGGCCAGCTCGAGGGAAGCACATGATTCTGAGTAATCAACAAGAGCCCCCAAATTCAAATTCTTCAGAGTTGACAGTATTAACAGAATACAAAAATATGGTGAAAATTTACACATTACACATAAAGTACTTAATTTTTTAATAGTTTACAATAGAGATCTACAGATATGTTTCCAATTTAGCTGGCTTCTTACTATCCACCCTTTTTTAATATTATAGGTGTGGTTACATATATCAAAAACAATCTCAAAGCATAGCTATACAGCAACATATTAGGGTCTGAAGATGAGACCGGTACATGTTAAATATTTCACTGGCTTACTAAATTGACAGTTTATTCATTTACAGTTGTTGTTTTAATCTTAATAGATTTGTCTTTGAGACGAAATACAGAATGTCCTTTATTAATAACCTCCTCAGTATTATAACAATGATATGAGAAGCCCTCTCAGGCTTTCCGCAAGAAAACAAGGGGTGTGTGGCTTTTCTTTTATAGTAGGCTTTCTTAATGATGTAATAACAGAGTTCTGTTTTAATTGGGATAAACTAATTATTGTTTTCAGGATATTTCTGAGTTCATGTTCCCCAGAGATTAAAAAAAAATTTAAGTCGTTTATTTTGGTCTGATTATTTGTGTCTTTCTAGTCTGTCCCCATAACCCCTAGGGCAATACATATTCTTGTTTGATCGCATTACACAAAAATAAATAATGCACTGTTAATTCTAAAAACTAAAAGGAACAGATAGGGCATCTATGGCATAACAATATAAAAATCAAGTAAGCCACGGGATAGATACAGCAACTCCACTTAATGGGATTTTCCTGTTTTTTCCTTTCACATAAGAACTCTTAACAAATTCTTCCAGTGTTTATTTTTTAAAAAACGTTTTCTTTCTTTTCTTTCTTGTTAGTATTTCTGCTTTCCTAAAAAATGCTTCATGTCTATCTCACTAACCAAGTAGATGAAATGTAGGATAAGGCTTCATGGTTTTGCATCAGATGACTGTTTAAAAACAAAACACGAAACAGTGAAACCAACTTTCGATCCATTCAGACTAGTACCGTTTCATTTTCTTTTTTTTTTCTTTTTAAAAACCATGGATGATATATATTTTTTTGTTTCCTTCTTTTTGAATGTTTCTTTTTCTTCTTTTCTTTCCAGAGGGAAAAAAAATATACATATCCCAAAATGCTCCAATACATCCCTTAGCTGCACTTGCAAGACTTTACAATCATATTTGAAAGCTGTTCAATTTTGGGTGTTTTGCCAATGTAATACAAGATAGTGAGGGGTTCCAGATCCTGAGATACACAACATGGAGATGCAGATGCCTCTGGGTTGATTGAGTTATACAAGCTAAGCACCTAGGAGGAAAAAGAAGGGAAAAAAGAGATATTTCTTCAAATTCTGCAGTTATTACAGTGGCAAGTAACTTTGGATAACAAGGAGCCTAGGGCTCTGATGGCACCATTGACATGGTGAGAATTTATTATTTAAAGTAATTATACTCAAATTCTTTTCCTCTGTATAAGACTAGACAGCTGGAATCAATAAAAACACAGATATGTAAAACGTCCAAACAGTAGAGAATTTTCACAGCAGCAAATTACTTTTTTTTCCCCTGAAACAGCTGTTGATTAAAAAAGAGACACCAGTGAAAATACTTGAATACTTCTAAAATGAAAGGTTTTCTCAAGATTCTAGGCTTCACAAGAGGGGATAGAGTTGAAAATTGCATATCATTCTTTGGCTTCTTTTGAGGAAGTAGTTGATAGAGTTATGTAAAATAACTGTTAAGTAAAAGTAAGGGAGAGAAATAAAGTGCCCCATTAAAATTTTGCTTTTTGCCATCAACCTCCCTCCCCCTTCCCCCCTGCCCAGGCAATCAGGGCTGGCCTCACCTGACCTATCGGTGATAGTTTTTCAATTCCACATATTTTAATTTGCTTCTAAAGAACAAATGAAATCCTGTGGGATGGGGCCTTTTCAGTCCAAAATCCTCGTTTCAGAATGGCCAATCAAATGCTTACAGGAAACCCATAAGCAGACCATAGTAATCTAGCCCTTTCCAACTACAAAGAGTGCTCGACTTACAATAGTTCATTTAGTGACTGCTCAAAGTTACAACAGCACTGAAAAAAGTAACTTATGACCGTTTTTCATAGTTATGACTTCTGCAGCATCCCCATGATCATGTGATCAAAATTCAGATGCTTGGCAACTTAGTTCATACTTATGACCACTACAGCATCATGGGGTCACATGATCACCTTTCACAACCTTCTGACAAGCAAAGTCAATGGGGAAATTAAATTCACTTAACAGCCAGGATACTAACTTATCAGCTTCAGTGATTCGCTTAACAACTGTGGCAAGAAATATTGTAAAATGGGGAAAAAACTCACTTAACAAATGTCTCACTTAACAACAGAAATGTTGGGCTCAGTTGGTTTTAAGTTGAGGATGCCATTGATCTCTAAAAGCATATCCTCTCAAGATAAATGGATTGTTTCCATTTATTTATGGTCAGGGATGAAATGTTTAAAACTTTTTAGAAAACAAGTAAAATAAACTAAAAACAAATGCACCATATAGCCCCACACACACATATTTCTACCATCAGGCATCAGAACCATTCCTACTCATTGAAGGTACTCTAGTAATTAACTGCTGTGCTTACCACTGATCCATATTTCTTTATGGTTTTTTGGCAGCAGGATGCTGCATGGAGTTGCTTACTTTTTTTAGCACCAGATAAAGAAAGCTATTCTTTATACTAAAGGAGTGGAGCAGGTACCAACCTTGAGGTTTTCTTTAAATTTGAGAGCCAGTGTCAACTTTACCATTAGTGTATGCATCTTGTGGTAGAATGGGACACAAATTTAAACATGGTTATATGGCTGCCCTTTTTATATATCCTTCAACATTGCAGCCATAACTGTGATTTTTGTACTGACACATGGATAGTCTTTTTATAAGCCACACTGAAATGAATCAGAGCTGCTTAAAGACTCAGTATTCATTCAAATGATGCAATCATAAGAAAGAGCACATAGCAATAGGGTATGCAGACTCTTATCAGTATCAAAGGTAATCTACATGCCAGGGTCTTTTAAAAGCAGGGCTTGATAAATTTTTAGTTTTTGCAGAATAAAAGATGTTGATAGGAAAGAGACGGCTAGTGGGTGTATTGGAAACACCTTGGAAGAAGAGTGTAGGGCAAATAGTGACTGATGTTACAGATATAGGACATTCCATAGAAAAGGAATCAAAGAAAAAGAAATCACAAGAAACCACAGAGTGGACAAAACCGGCCTTAACAGGCTCATTCGGTAGGTGGCAACTTCATATAGTACATTTAAGTATGTTTTCCCACAATGAAAGGATAAGTGCTTATTCTATCAAGATAATACTGTCAAAGGGGGGGGAGGGGGAGAAGAAACATCTCAGCTCCAAAACATACAGTACAGTAACCAGAGGGCTAAAATAAAAAGTAAGTCTTTGCATACTGAATACTTGAGTTTCTTTATACATTCAATCTGGATATGAAATACAGTTTTTCTACTTTTAAAATGCTCTTTCCCTTTCCTTTAATTTCTGTCAATGGTATATGCCATAATAGATTAATCTTTTTTAAAAAAAAATAAAGTTGGGTAAATGAAGTATTAATCTATCGATTAAATTAATTAAAAACACATTTTAAACTGACAAAATAGGTTTTGTTCTGCTTTATAGCCCTAATATTACTTAGTTTTCTAAAATACTTACTCTACTGTGCTGAGTGTCTGAGCTCCATAAATAGGGACAAGCTCCTGCACAGAAATTTGCATGATATCCTTTAGGTTCATGTATCCATTTCCATCCAAGATCTTTCTTGAAATCAATATAAAATGGACGTAGACAGCAGTTATCTTGCACGTTCCTGTAAATGGAGTTATAGACAAGATATTTACCGTAATAAGCTTCTGCCAGTCAGAATGCTCCTATGCCAGTGATGGCAAACCTTTTAGAGACCGAGTGCCCAAACTGCAACCCAAAACCCACTTATGTATCTCCGGGTGCCGGGTGGGCATGGCCCTTTCGGTGGGTGTGGCCCATTGGGTGGGCATAGCTGTGGTGGTAACGGCAGACTGGGTGGGACTAAAAAGTTCAATCAGTCAATTCCAACTTTGCGAGATCTTTTTTTTCCTGCGAGAAGTTGAAATTGATTGATTGAACCTTTTTTTTTTTTTGCACACGGCAGCAGAGGACTAAAGTGAAAAGGTTTTATAAAACCCAGCTGAAGGCCTAGGACTGGGGTGACAGTGTGCATGCCCACAGAGAGGGCTCTGTGTGCCACCTGTGGTCCTATGCACTACATATCAACAGCCTCTTCTGTGGTTGAATTTTATAGAATCAACAGTTTACTGATATTTTTAGAGCATGCTTTCAGAACTCTCATATTAATAAGATCTAGTTTCCAACTTGTCAGAAATAAACCTGAGCCTAGGCATAGGACTGCATCTTAACAATCATCCCTCAGAAAACTGGATGGACAGAAGAGTAGTAGTGCAAACTACAGCTTTAATGAATGGAGGAAGGGGGAATGGTCAAGCCATGGCACAGAAAAAAATAATTCTTTAATTTGGCTCCCCTACTTCAGAATGACCATTTTTAAAAAGGCACATTAAATTACTCTTCTGCTTTAGTTCTCAATCTGTCACAGATTGTAGTAGGGAGAAATCCTTGAGTTTACACAAACACACACATTGTGAAGTTTAATACTATATTTTTAATACTTTGTGCCACTCTGAGTTCACAATATACAAATATTCATGCATAAAAAGGAGTTAATGAATGAAATGTTAAGCATCATATTGTAATTATGTAATTAAATTCAGGTTTTAAAGGATGCATTAAAATAGCACATGATTGACACTTCATGGGCAAATATATTCATGAAAGATTATTTCTTCACTTCTCATGTGTGTCTGTTTATGTTTCACTTTTTATTGTTTGGAAATCAGATGGTTTAAAATATAATATGAAATAATGAAAAGGATAACATAAAATAAAATTTAAAAACTGTAATCTGCTTCTTTCCAGCTAGGACTTTGGAAGGAAAAGGAGCATGATAGTTGTTATTTCATTTGACTAATAAAGGCTTTGCATGTGTCATGCAGTGTTAGGATTGCTTGCAGGCATTTCAAGTTTCTGTTTATATCTTATCATTTTGTATATGCAATTAGTCCTAACTAGACATTATTCTCACATTCATCTATAATACTAGTTACAGATTTTTATTTGTATCCTTAAGTAAATTATATTTTTAGATTTCTCTGCATCCATTTAGGAGAATGGATCAAATATATATTGTTCAAAACAAGAGGAAAAAAAAATCCTTGGGTCTTCAAAGACATGGGATCTTTGAAGAGATGGATCTTGTTCTAATTAGTGCAATTAGAAGAATTTCTGCAACCTATCTGCAGGTGCAAAACTGAAAAGCTGCCTTAGCCATTCATGGGAAAAATATGGGGCCTCTGTTGTCAGGAGATATTTTTGTTTTTTAAGGAACAATTTCTTTGAACAATGAACTAAACCAGGTCTAGCTGAAAGTGAAGGAATTATAGGAGCAGGGACTTTGAAGTTGTTCCTTAGCATTCAGCACCAAATGGCAAATTCAGCAGATATACAACTTGTACTAAGATGTACCAGTATCATTTGTTTGATTTCTATAGCTACCCAGCTGAATAAGTTATTCTGGGAAGCATATATCATAACAACATTAAAACAATACTCTCTGTTGACCTGTCTCCTTTATTCATTGAATAAAACTATTGCCACGGATGTTAACATAGCCAAGAAAAGGGGCCCTTAACATACTGGGGGGTAAGATACATTATCAGGTCTTCAGGGCCTTACAAAAAGCCAATAGGTTTGAGGTTATCTTAATGTTTGAGGAGAGAATGTTCTAGAGGGCACGGGTTACCACAGAGAAACCACATCTCCTCATCCCAGCCAGTCAGCATGTCTTGACTGATGGGACCAGTGCTATTTTTCTAAAAAAAAAAAAAAAAAGGTGCCGGAACTCACACACATCATACAACCCATCTTGCCTACCCTACAAAAGGTGCCGGAACTCCGTTCTGGGCATTCTATGACAAAAAAAGCCCTGGATGGGACCCAAAATGCGCCTAACTTGCTAGACCAGAGGTCCCCAACCTTTTGGGCACCAGAGATCGGTTCTGTGGAAAAAGTTTTTCCCACGGACTGGGGAGTTTGTGGTTTTGTGTACTGCCTACATCCCATGGATGGGACTTTGCTTGTTTGTGCGGACCAGTTGCTGGCATGCCATGGACCAGAGGTTGGGGACCCCTGTGGTAGACCCAATATATATTTTCCTTTGAGATGAGTGTGATTTTTGTATATCCATGCAATTTTCTTGGGAACAGAACAGAAGAAGTTTATCATACCATAGCCTCCCATTCTGGCATCCTATTGTCCTGATATTCTCTAGAAGGCTCTATTCAGAAAGGAGTCTATTTATCTTCCAGACAAGATCAGCCTAATGCTGTTACCTATTAAAATCTATTTTTATAACTGCAGCCATACAAATAAATTAGCAAATGCAAAATTTATCCCTAGATGGATGCTCTTA